CAGAGAAAGTACTGCACATCACCAGGCGCTACCAGCTGCAGGCAGGAAATTGACAGCAATGGCCTAGAGACGGCTGGAGTCGCCCAACGTTCAGTTCTCCACAGTTCTCTCGGGACAGCTCTCAGTTCACTTGTCAGATTTGCTTTTGTGACCTAAGAGTTCACCAAACAGGTCTTCTCTATCTGGGAAGTCACGGGATGAATCAGCTGGGGACATCTGTGGAGCTGTCAGTCCTTCTGAAGGCGCTCGAGACCCCAGAACGGCACCAGTGGCACACTGGGTGCCCGACACCGACCCGAGTGCCACCCACTGTGGAGCTCTGCCCTCCTGGGAGCAAGCTCACGGGGCTTCCCTTGGCCAGCAGAAACCTGCTGCTTTAGCAGCCTGGCAAAGCATCACAGGCAATAACAGTACTGCAACTCACTTGAGCAAGAGAACAGAGAGCTCTGCAGAAAAATGCGGAGTTTGTTTTTTAAACAGCCATTCTGACAAACACAGAATGAAACATTTTAATGGGCTATGGTTAACCATCTATAAATACCGTTGGTTCAGCATGAATTTAAATTGTAAACTGGTAATAAATAATACAGTAAGTCTCAGCACATTTTAAAATATACATTATTAAATAAACTTTGATTTTCAGAAAAGCTTTCACCTTTTTTGTTAAAAAAAAAACCCACTTAAAAAATCCTTTATGAACTGCAGCCAGTTTTCCTGCCTGCAAATTTTGATTTATGAAGCCCTACTGCCTAGTGCAGAACATTTATTTGTATTAACTTTCTTTTCTTTTTTTTCTTTCTATGGCAGATTAAACACGAGCTCGATTCAAAAACTGTTAATGTCATTTAAACTAATTTAAAATTATAAATTATTATAACGATTATAAATTGGTTTCATTCTGGTTTATTTAGTAACCATACACATATCCAAATATTCACTGAAGTAAGCTACTGTGAAGACCAAAAATACCATAGTCAGAGCAGTAGCTAGACCTAGATTTAAAATGTGCATGTTTCCACCTGGTCACAGAAAAGGTCTCCATGCACCTCCCTGTTAACTAGCCATGCAATCTACCCATGAACATGAACCTGGTTAAATGTTAGTTTCAATGGGAATTAGAAACAGCCCCCTGCACCATTTCTCCAAGGCACTTTATGTTGAAGTGTGCTGTGGAGATTGGTGCCCATCCTGGCAGGCCTGTATGTCTCAAGACATGGAGGCTAACAGATACAAAGGACAGCTGAGTGGAGCGGGAAAGCCCTCTCTGTAACACACCCTTTGTGCACAGAGATCCTCCCAGCTGATCTCCTGAGCTCCCTCAGCAGATGGCAATGACAGCACTCTGAGCTTACTCTCATCTCAGATCCTGCAGGATGGGAGAAACAACATCTATCAACTACTGCTCAACATGGTCTCAGTGACCCCTTGGCAGGAAATGTAGAAGATGCAATATCAGCATCATATTCCTTCCTGCCCATGCCCTGAAGCTGGGATCTGACCTCCAAACATTCTGGGCTAAACCGTGTAACAACCCAATCTGTCCCAAACCAGCTTTTCAGAGCATGTGAATGCTGGGGAGAACCTCAAGAAATCCAGCTGCATTCAGGCAGTTTATACAAAAGGTAGTTTCTGTTTCTACCTATAGTAGGAAATGTGATTAAAAGGAATCTCCCTATTTCTCCGTACTGCTATTCAAAAACTTTCATAAAGACATGCTCTATATGAATTCATTTCAGAAGGCCTACATAGCACAAGTAAGAAAATACCTTTATAAGGACTATTTGTTAAAGACTACATGAAAACATTAGAGATGCTGATGTTCAAATACATTCCTAATCTTGTGTAAGCAGGAGCATTTTAATGCTTTAGAAAACTAGGAATATTGCAGAGAGGAAGACAAAAAAGACAGATGTAAAAAAGTTGGAAAGAGAGCACCATATGAAAATCATACTTAAGTTCCATTTAACAGGTTAATTAAATGTTTTGAGGTGGTATATAGAAATTTAAGTAAACTACCTAGGATAAAATCCTAGCTCATCTGAAGTCAATAGCAAGAAGATTTTACCTGCAATTCTCACTATGTTCCAGAATAGCAACCAGACAAGAGGAAAAGGCCTCAAGCTGTGCCAGGGGAGGTTCAGGTTGGACATCAGGAAGAATTCCTCCACAAAAAGGCTGGTAAGGCATTGGAACTGGCTCCCCAGGGAGGTGGTGGAGTCACCACCCCTGGAAGCATTCAAGAAGCAGCTGGACATTGCACTTAGTGCTACAGTCTACTTGATGTGGTGGTGTTCAGTCAAAGGTTGGACTTGGTGACCTTGGAGGTCTTTTCCAACCTTACTGATTCCGTGAAAAGGAGGCTTCAGTGAAAGGCTTTAGTCAAAAAACAAAATGAAGAAAAGAACATGTTGCTTACTTTTTTTAGGTAAATGCCATGTAAAAGCATGTTGCTTACTTTTTTTAGGTAAATGCCATGTAAACTAATCTACATGGCAATTTCTCTGGTCAAAGAAACATTGAATGTGATACTGTAAGTAATTTTTAGCTTTAATTTTATTTGTTCATTATTTAGCAAGACTTTTGCAGCAGAAAATCCATTTTAAAATGGTATCATTACCTTGTACATTGTTGCTTTATGGAAGTGCAACCCAAGATTGTAGCAAACAGTGCTGTATTTTTTTCATTTCACATGTACAAAATGATATAAAAAGAGGTCCTTGATTAATATATGATAATATCCTTAGGCCACAATAAAAACAAATATAATACACTTTTATAGTGTAAGTATTTCTTTTAGAAGGAATACTTTCTATGAGATACACTCCTCTGATCAAGGATTTCAAAATCACATCCTTAAGTATCCAATGCATTTTGATGAATTAATAGCTATGGTCTTCAGCGAGCTGCCCTGACAGTAAAAAAGAGACACAGAACTTAATCTAATCTTAGTTTCCCATATTTCATCACACTATTCTGTTAGCTAATGGAGATATATTTCCCAAAACTGCCAATATGTTCCTCATAATTTATAAAACAGTACTGAAAGAATGTTGGACACATACAACTGCTAGTCTGAACACATAGCACAACTGTTTTGTGATTCAGTGTTGTAAATGTAGTTTATATTTTAAACTTTTCACAATTTCAGCTGCATATAAAACAGAAGTAGTAAGTTAAATTAGAGCACCTTGTATGAAATTGAAGGAATACAAAGATTACACCTTTTAAAATCTAAAGAAATACAACTGTTCTGTCTCAAGTCAGCTATGCACCTGTCATATAAAAGGAAACTTATTTACGTGTAATGAAGACATGCATAAATATCACAAATTCAAGGCACAACATGGAATTTGAAAGTTAGGGACATAGCAAATCCTTGCTTTTTTATCAAATTACCTGATACACCTTTTTCTGGCATATCTACAAATTTCAAAAAAGCTGTATTATCATAGAATCGTTGAAGCTAAAAATGGAAACTTCCTATTCAAATATGTCTCTTGCCAACTCTAACTGAAAACCTTCCAAGACACTGCATGCATTGATAAGCACTACTATGTCATTCTGTAACCTAACTGATCTCATTGGCAGGACCTTTCTTCTGATATTCATTGGCTATTTACCTTGTTTCAAATTCATCATAGCTACACTTCCATACTTAGAAAAGCTCTTCCATGTGTTTATCATACAACAAATTACTCATATTAATGACTCAATCTTTCCGACTTCTTTATCACTTCAGCTGGTTTTGTTATTGTCCTCTGAGCTTTCAGATGGTTAACCAATTCTTCATCCCTGAGCTAGCCAAAATATAAGACTGCACTCCAGAAGTTACCTCAGCAATCACAAATATTCTGACATACAGCTGCCTGATGCAGCTCTTCCATAGATGTATACACTTTTTTTGACATAAGTGAAGCCAGAAGCAAGACAGGTTTGTTGCCAACATTTTCAAGGTTTCGTACCACATTACTACATTTCCGTCTTTCTCTCTCTCACTAAGTATCCAAGTTTTCTCAAATGCATCACCTTTTCTCTGATCTAGGCTGTTAGATCAAAATCTTATTTGTTGGACCTCTCCCACTCAGGTATCATATAGTGTAATATCATCTGTAACTTCCATCAATATACTGTTGATCCTTCTTGCAGATTATTGAAGACATGAAATAGAATTAGGTCAACACATTATAAACAATTAATAGGGAGGAAGCAATTAAAATTGCCCAATGGGATGAATCAAAGCACAATTTATATTTTAAGATGATATTTTAAATATATTTTATCCCACTGAACTATTCAAAAGAAGTCAAATATCTCACCATAGCTACAGTTTTTCAGTGTGATACTGATTTTCTGCATACATAATTTAAATGTAGAATAGGAAACATGCTGACAATCAGCTTTGCTCTTCAAAGGAATCCCATTCCAGCCACTGATTAGAGAAAGGTAGGCACATCCTGTCTACTCCTCAGCACAAATTTTAACCAGTTAATATTATATATATTATTCTAAGTATCTTTAAAATTACAAATGAAAATACAGGGAGGTCTAAATTTGCACTGACAATCAAGAATTCAGTTCCTTTCAAAAGTCCTTCTGGAATTCTTCAGTGTGATACTGTAATTCAAAAAATGTTGAACAACATCCTAGAGCACTTATAATTCGAAAGGTATTACTTAATATAAAGCTTAAATACCATTCAATTCACCTAGTCTATGAAAAACATCCTTCCCTAATTTATACTCTGATTTCCAGAAGACTCACTTTCAGTACAACTTATCAACTCTCCTTCTGTTCTTGATAATGACTACAGATCATAACAGAACTTTCAGAACAGAAGGCACAGTAGCCAACTATTCTAATTCTTAAAGCTACTTGTCAACCTATTGAAAGTAAGAAAATATTTCTTTGAAGAAATGAACAATTAAAAACCAAAGTGAATCTGAGGACGAAAAGGTAGGTCTGAAAATATATTAATTGTAAAAATAATACAGTCCATGATATTTTAGGCACAGTTGTTTATTCTTGTTCCATGTTTTAAAACTTGGACTCAGAAAAATCAGAGGAAGTTTTGGATTTTTACCCTCCTTTTCCTTTCCACTAAAAGCACCATGGTTACACAGCTTGATTCAATCGTCCTTTTCCACAATCACTTCTCCATGAAGCACCCTTCTTCTCTGCCGCAGCATGTGGAAGTAGAGTTGTGGAAATACTTGATCAAAGCATAAAAGAAAGCAAATTAGATGGAAAAATTCAACAGATCACATAATGGAAAATCACAATTTTACAGAATTATGAACTGAATAAAAATTATGGCACACAGTGGTTGAGTTGATTAAGGTGAATAATAGCAAGTCATGAACATTTCAGTGATTTAAAAAAACAATAATTACTCAAAGCTCAGACAAGGCCCCCTGAATAAATACCCTGTGTTCAAGGAACTTCACTCCAACAGTTTCCTGGTAGAAACAGGATTTAACCACATTCTGGTAGTTGAAGACTTTGAATCTGTCCTAAGCATTTTTGAATTAAGACTTGGAGGAAGATACAAATTTACTTTATTTTTTCAAGTCTGAAGAAAGGAGATCCCTCTTTCCTGTCCCTCTGTCATCTATTATATTACTGTCCTGCTGACAGAGTTGATCCTTATATTTAATGGCTAGAAAACTGGATTTACTCCTGAAGAGTTGTTACATAAACAGATGTAAAACTGTAAGTAAGTTATCACACCTTAGAATATTGTTTATTGACATAAATCTCCCTTGTTGGCCTTCATGTTTCTTGGGACAAAAAATTTCAGTGTGTGTGCATATTGTAAAAGGCCATATTGAAGGTTGCCTCCTCAAATGAATACCTTCCATGAATGCAAATCATAGACCTTTTAACTTCAGTTTTCCAATTTCTCTCCCTAATCTGCTGTCTCAATGTCAGATTTTGTACAGATTATAAAATAAAAATGATTATATATTCTATTATTAATTTTATCTAAAATATTACATTTGCCTAGTTTGTTCTAGCCCTATTAATGGTGTAATATCTGGTATATCAGGTTGCTTTCTCCTTGTCTTCAATGCTTAGGTACAAGTGGAAATAACACTGGAAGTGAAAGACAGATACTCCACTGCTACCTCCATGGCTTCTGGTATGCATCAGTACAAGGACAAACTGATTAAACCAGGGATTGCAGATGTTCAGAGAGGTTTGGGGGGGTTGACTTCTGCAAAAATGAAATCTTAGAGAATACTGCTTCAAGTTTTTCCTGAACATGCTTGAATGGAGACTTTTCCAAGGTAAATGGTTATTAGTAGCAAAACACCTCAGCAAATCTCTGGCACAACTTGCAGAACCATTTTTAAGTCAATACTTTGAAGTGTGAGAGGCACTAACTAGAAAGTCTCAGCAACACAGTTACAGACATTTCTGTGTGTAAGCAAAAAATTTTCTTACTTTATCCAAGTCTGAGAATTAATTTTAGCATTTTCATTGAAATTTTTAAGACATATTTTGTTCCTAAGCAGGTCACAGGACAGAAAATTTCAGCCTAACCAATTAAAGCATAGTAAAGCTTGGATCAACAGAAAGCAGGCCTTTACAGTAGAAAGTGTTCAGCAAATTTTAATATAGGCAGTGTTCATTGCATCACTGAAGATTGATTATTATGTTGTTAAAATGTTTCTACAGTTAAACAGTACTTACATGGCACATAGGAGAACATGACAATAATAAGGAAGTAATAGTAGTCAAAGGAGACATTGTATTTGTTGGGGAGTCTCAGTGAAAACATTCCTGTTTTCTTCACATAGGGTAAAGCAGCATATATGGTTAGCAGTTCACCTGCAACTCCAGCAGGATACAAAATGATAAAAAAGTTGTACCTGCATTGTAAAATAAAAAAAAAAAACAAAAACATTGTGAGAAACGCCCTACAAACTTAAAATTTTCTCTTATTATTATTAGTTGCACAGCAACGTATTAAAGTAGTTCCTGCACCAGAATCAAGGAGCACATCCTGACTTGACATAAAATACCAGTTTCAGTTACTTTTAATAAAGTTGCTTAGATTGACAAGAGAATGCAGTCCTCAGTGCTTTCTTTAAAAAACAGTTAAGTATCAGAATGTTTTTATGTTTTTCTAATAAAACAATCCTCAAATTTTTAGTCTCCAACAATGATTTTTTTAAGATGTACTATTCTTACTCCTATTGTCACTGACAGAATTCAGACCAGGACTGAATCTCAAATTCAGATGATCCTACATATTTTCATCACAACCCACAGATACTGGGTCAACTGTATGTACTACAATTTGAAGATAATGATGTTGAAAAACATCAGAAGCCTGTTTTACTCACTACGGCATGGGAATACTACACTTACCACTAATGTAAATTGGAATAAAAAAAGGAAAGAAAATGACAGTGCCAGAAACTTATCAGATCCATTTTAAAGTGAGATGATGTTCAAATAAAAGGCAAAGCATCTAATTGAAAGAAAATGTGGTTTGAATGCCAAAGGCCACATGGGCAGTGACAAATGAAAATTGTATTCAATACACTTTGTGCTGTCCTTTCACACAGTGCACCATGGATATGCAGGTTCTCCTAAGGAACAATTCTCCAGTTCACATAGGGAACAGCAGTGAGCTGTCACACAGAGAGAAAGGTACAGTGGGCACTCCCTGACCAAAAGAAATGGGATCCAAACAGCAGCAACTAAGCAAAAAACCCTCCTAGATGCAGAAGGGTTTAGAAGACTCACAGATGAGTGGAATCACAGAATAGTTCAGGTTGGAAGGGACCACAGTCAGTCATCTGACCCTGCTCATGCAGGGTTATCCTAAAGCACATGGCACAGGATTGTGCCCAGGTGGTTTTTTGGGTATCTCCAGTGAGAGAGACACTGGATTGTCTCTCTGGACAATCTGTTTCAGTGCAAGGTCACCTGTACAGTAAAGATGTTCTCCCTCATATTCAGGTGGAACTTGCTGTGCATCAGTTTCTGCTTTTTGCCTCTTGTCCTGCTGTTAGGCAGCACCAAGAAGAATGTAGATTAGACGAGAAGGAACTGATACTTTACATATTGTTTGTCTCTGTGCAGTTATAAGGTAAAGATCAGAAATTCCATCTCTCTTGATACTGAATTCACGCCCAGTTGTGCTGTTTGTTTATCCATAAATCTTGATGGGATATTTTGATGATAGTATAAATGATACTTGATGATAGACTTTATGAAAAAATAATGTATTTTCAAACGTTTTGTTTATATTAATATTTGACCGTAAATCTCCTCAGTGAGAATGTCAATTTTCCCTGTTGTCTATATTAAGGAAACAAAATTCTGTTTTTCAAGGCACACTGACCTGATGGCAAAAATATTATTGTCAATGTTATATGTTCTCAGTGCATTTCTCTTTTTGAAGTCTGTATGAAAAACAACTGATGATCGACAATCTGACTATCTTTAAGTTTGTAATTAAGGCTTAAACAAGTCTGTCACTTAAACACTAGCAAAAAGGTAATGTTTTGTAAGACTGGACATAAATATCAGACATGTCAAAGAAGTGCATTAGAAGCATCAAACCTGCATTATCTATAAAACAAAAATAAAGGAAAATAACAAACAAACTCTTTTAAATAAAAAAGACAGTTGCCTGTACTGACTGCAGGTTAGATATTTTTCTTCTAACAGAGTAAGTCTGCTTTATATGTATTTTTCAAATAATGAATACATAGAATACTATTCCAGTTAAGCCTCTTGATAAACACACACAGTCTCTCTAGTGTATGTGATCTACTGGCTAACCTTAAGTATGCTTCAAAATGAAAATAGTTTTGATATGGAACACGATTTTTGGTGGGCTAAACTATGTCAGTACTTAATTTCACTACATGGATATAATCTTACAAAAGCTCTGATAAAGCAGAACTTCTTATAAAGTAATAATACAGATTGAATGACAATAACTCCCACATTTTCAAAGAACTAATATCCACAAAGACTAGCACAGGTGCTTAATTTTGGGCACTGTATTCAAGAGCATTGTGAAGAGTCATACTGCAAATTAAAAGATGACTCCAAAGATAGAGAAAAAAAAAAAAAAATTAGAGTAAGTGGAAGCAGAGTTCAAACTGAGACACAGCAAAGAAAAAACCATAACCCAAAAACCACAGCTAAAATATTTTAACATTTTAAACCAAGCAAAAATGATCCCAAATACAGAAAGCAACTGACTTGCACTTTGCTGACCCATAACCAAAGCTCAAACATCTGCTCTCCTGTGTATTAGTTCAGCATGCGTGAAACCAACATGCACAGAATCATGAGAAACTCAAGTGCAAGACATCTCCACCTGGCCCATTTAATGAAGTATGGCAAATGGTTGAGCAGGTTGAATGTGTAGAAGGAATATCGAGTAATCTCTGTCACAGTCCATACGACCAGAAAAAGAATAACGCTCTCCTCATTCTGGATCTGCAGAAGTATAAAGAACCAACATTTCTACATCCTCAGGCTTCTTTTCTGTGCAAACTGCAACAGACTTCTCTTTAAGATACATAGAGCAGAACTATTGTCTTGTAAAGAAAGAAAATTTAGGCACAAAAGTGATATGCTGAAGCCATTACCATGTAAAGTTCATTATCATATGTGTTTACTAAGATACAGACATTTGTCAACTGAGCGATCTTCATCCATTATGCAAATATCAAATATAAAACCCTGTAATTATGCTTATTTCTCCTCTTTATTCTTTACCTACATTCTACTAGACTATCTAACTATCCCTCTTTCATTGGTGGTTGACCTACTAGTTTACATTCTTTTTCCTCAAAACAGCAAGAACAACAAAATGCTACAGAAAGTATGTTCTTCTCATAATCACTTTTTAATCATTCTGCATTTTACTACTCCATTTTCTAGACTTTCTCTTACTTTTTATTTTGCTTCTTCTTCAATGCCTAATACACATCTCCATGAAACTTTAGACAAGACAAATTGCTTTTTATAAGCTACTAACCCAACTTGGTCACAGAAGACCAAGTTTGGCAGACTTCAGGGAGCTCTAAGACAGTTTAAGGAGTTGGAGCACAGATGGCTCACTAAATGAAGAGCAGTTCATTTAGTAGATCAGGAGCTTTGGGTAAACTCATTCAACAATCCCATGTAAGATTTAAGTTATGAGTCATTAAACTGCCTCATCGGTAGGTAGCACATCTCTGCTGTTCCAAAACACTACTTCTTCTTCACTCTGAGTGAACAAATAAACAAAAGTCCCCATATACAAAGAAGGCACCTGGGGGATCTATTACAAACACTACCTTCTGTGAGAAAGAACTACACACAAGTAATTTTCTTTCCTTTAAGAGGGGAGGAATTTTGTAATACACTTCTACGCCTGAAGGCTAAAAAGCTCCAGGGAAGTCTGTGAAATAGAATAAAGCAACACAAGTTCTGTTAAAGTTACAAAAAAGGAAAATGATTTTTCAAAATAAAATGCAGCATGGTGACAAAGCTTAATATATCTCCAAGATGCTGAAAATCTACAACTCTGTTAAAGATCAAGAAGAATTATAAGTGCTCATAAAATCGCACCCTCAATGTGTCAGTCAAAGAAGGTGCACTTTTAGCAGAAGGATCTCGCCAACATCATAAAGAAAATGGAAACATAAAAATAGCACCAAAATCACAAACAAACAGCAGCAACTGAAGTGCAAAGACATCTAAACAAATAAGCAAAGGTAAAGACAGAATTAGGCTGTTCTTTGCCTCATACAATTAGAGACAAACATTGATAACTCAAACTTGGATTAATGTCACAGTGCTAAATCCAAGCAGAAGAGCTTTAAATAAGTATGCAGAGAATTCCTATCTGCTGCCTTGCAAATCTGCAGTCAAGTGGGGAGGTCTGGCTCTGGCTATTATCACTGACATGCCTCTCACCACCTAAAGTGACCCTGAACATTCATGCATGCTAAGCAATAACAGCATGAAATACAATCAGACATACATTTAAATGAATTTCTTTTTGGGCACAGCTTGGTCTACAGTAGTGTCGATAGAGGAAATAAAAGAAATTGCTGGATATACTAAAGATTTAGTATATCTATCCACTGTAGATAATAAAAAATGGAAAAATGCACTACTATAGTCCAGCTCATGTGTAGACATTCAATATAAAAGTCTTGTTAATCTTTGAGACGTGTTGCCTTACAGAAAAATATAAAAAATTAGCTTACCAAAAAAAAAAATCCAAAAAACCAAACCAAAATCAAAAGAACATAAAACAAAAAACAAAACACCACCAACAAGAAAAAAGAAAAACAAAAACCACAAAAAAACCCTATGAAAAGCCTAGTTAATTTATTCCATGTTAAGAAAATTGACAGTAAAGGAAAAGATGCAGTGTAGAAAACAAGTCCTCCAGTGAAAAGAAATGAAGAGTTGATAACTGAGGCAGGTGCCAGGATAATTCATCTGCAGAGAGGCCTATGCCATCTGCTGGTGAGACAGTTTAATGGCTCGGCTTTTCAAGTTCTGAAGAAATTCAGGAGCACAAAATCTATAATTTAATTTTTTACATGCCTTTCATAGAAAGCACTCCTCACAAACTGAGGTAATGTCCTACCTACTAGCTGTGAACTGCTTGTTTCATTCTGCTAATGGATCACTAGCCTTACAACAGCCACCTACAGCCAGGCAAATAAACCATTATCATTTACACAGGTCCTTAAGCCCCACTGTGACATACTGGATGTCGTTGAATGTTAATACTACTATACCATTAAAATTTTGAGAAGGTTTCTAAAAAAATTTCAAAATTTTCAAACATGTTTATCCATGTGAATTCAATTTAAGACATAAATTTAAAGACATACATTTACATTTTATTTAGATAAATTCAGCAAATGCTAACAAAAACTTTTGAAAGGGAATGTTTAACACTAGGGTAGTTTTGCTTGTAAATAATAGTAGTCACTGATTTCATTTAGGCAGACCACACTGAAGACACTGCTGATTCACAGCTAAGACCCAGAACTCAGTCTCCTGGCAAGAATCATACAAATTTCTATTTTGTAACCCTAACTTCCAAAATTGCATTCAAATATGTAAGCATTCTCTACAGGAATATCATTAATCTTAGATTGGTCTTTTTTGTGAAATGAGAACTGTAGTAATATCTTCTCTTTAAAAGCAATCAAAACATAATTGGCTCACACACATACCTGTTTTATACTATGTGCAATGAACCACACCATGAAGATTCTTGAACTCACTTGGACCCCAGTCACAAGCACAGATGTGCGAACTATTCCTTAAAAAGAGAAACATGTTATCACTGTTCCACAATTCTTTATTTTAACTAGTTACAGGAGAAACTAAAACAAAGAACTCACCAACTGCACAGTGGATTACCTGTAAATAAAAATAAGTCAGAGGTTACTGATGGGCAGCATGTTACTAGTGACCCTACAAACATGGCATTCTGATATTAATATAAACCTAGGCTCAATTCTGGTTTTTGTCTCCCACTAAAAGTCTTAAAAAGAAATACATGGCAGAGCCCTGGCAATCAGCGTTGGGATGCTCAATATTTGAGCTGTGAACTACATGAAATAGATTTGTTCTGCAAATTAATTGTAAATACCTGACATTTTGATACTTACAAAGCATTTTATTCAACTAGTAAGCTTCTCTTCCTTTACCTTATTCAAAGAAGAATTTTACAGGACCGTGTAGAGGAAGTCATATAAGGAATGCTAATCACACAGCAATTTTAAAATGTTCTGCATTCACTACAGATTAATATCATTATTATACTTTTTTCAGTGACAGCTATGAAACTTTAGATACAATATATTTTCTGGTCAGTAATGTTTAGCAAATGAAGTACTTTTCATTATTTTGGCATGTTTGAATAGAATTACTTATCGTGAAAGTTTAACAGCACAAAAGCCTATATACAGCTGGTGACATGATTTTAAGAGTTGTTTGAACTACAGGTGTTGTAGGCAGATTGAGAAAAGTTAAAATGTAAATAGACATTCTTTGTTGTGCCTGGGAAAGAACTGCGATTGCTCCATTAACCCAGCATTAAAACTTCATTCCACAGATGTACCAGAAATGAGACCACTAGTGCATAGTTTGCAAAAGTATTACTTAAAGAATACTTTGCACATCTTGCACAGACCCCATTGCAATGGGTTATATGAGGTACGTGAATCCCATCTTGAAACAAGCAGAAGCAGGAAAGGCACAGAAGGATAGTAAGTCCAGTATAAAGAATATAAGGTAAGCTATAATCTCTGAGATGGTGACATCTACTACACTAGGGGGCTGACCTGCTGGCTGTGGTACCTTTGGGATTTTGCCTTTTGCATTAAATATTCTCAAATCAAAGCAGTTCCCAGGCACTGATTTAAAGAAATATTAAGTTTGAAAAACGTGTGTCCATTTGTTTCAAGTAATCGCTTTGCCCCACCCCCAAAACTTCATTAAATAATAAAGTAAAAAAGACTTTAAGTACTCATATAATATTTTTATTTTAAATTCAGGATAATAATGTGTTTTGCCTATAATATGCAGCATCCAGTAAAGCAAACTAATGTTTAAAATTTACCTCAAGCAAAGCAAATGTCTGGAAAAATTTAAGCGTCTTTTGAACGCTTCTGAATAAGCCTCTATGTGTTCCTTTCTGTATATAAAACCGCACCATGGCAATACCTAATACCAGCCACCTATAAAAGAAAGAGAATGGATACATTTCAAATTAGAATTCTAAAAATATCCATCCATCGTAAATAATTTAGTAGAGTATTTTTCTTCACAGATGATTTTGATTCTTTACTTGTCAGTATTCTTAGATCATCACAAATATCTTTAGACATAAATAGTATAAAATATTATGTAAATATTACACTCATCTCTTTACTTGGAAAAGAATGGAGAATAACTTGTTGCCCTCTGAGGATTGACTTAATTGAGGGAACCCCCCAAAACCACCCATCAGACTTTTCTCTAGCAGTGACTAAATATTTTTACTATTAAGTTCTCATGCATCTTTAAATATTGTTATTTGAAACCACATTATGAGCTTGACACTGAAGTCACTGTTTGGGTTGCAAGTTTGTAAAAGTAAACAACTGGAATTTATGCACATCAGTTTTACATTTTTCATGGCCCCTCAACTCACTGATTTCAGGACTGACCAGTGATCTTAATGCTCCTGTTTGTGATTGTCCAAATGAAGTTACCCCTCCAATTATGTTTTCCAAAGTGTTGAGAAATGTTTTAAAAGTTGGCTTAAAAATCAAAGTGCTGAAAGATGGGTGTTCTACGCTCCTGGCTTCCAGAAGCAGATATATTTAACTAGCTTATTTGAGGGGGTTGGATAAATTAATTTTGGTTTTTTTAGGAAAATGAACAATTATGCCAACTAATAACCCTTCCAATGCAAAAGAAAGAAAAAGTAACAGTATCTTTTAATCATAGTAGAATTTGACTTAAAAATAGTTAAAACTTAAATTGAGATTTAGAATGGAAATTGAGATAAAAAAATAAATGTCTAAACTGTGGGTTGATCCCATAACCAGCCTAGACTCTGTAAAATAATCCAAGGCATGAGGAATTCCTTCCATGTAATAAACCCATTTTTATATAATAAGGATATTCCAAGCAGTGTACTATATGTTTCTTAATCATGGCATTGATTGGGCAGGAATAGACCTTCAAGATCATCTAGTTCCAACCTCCTCTGCCATAAGCAGGGGCACCTTCTACTAGACAAGGTCACTCAGGGCCCCATCCAACCTGGCTTTGAACACTTCCAGGAATGGGGCATCCACAGCTTCTGCAACCTCTGCAAGTGCTTCACCACCCTCTGAGTAAAGAATTTCTTCCCAATAGCTAATCTAAGCCTGCCCTCTTTCAGTTTACAGCCATTATACCTTATTCTATCACTGCAGTCCCTTGTGAAAAGTCCCTCTCCTGCTCTCTTGTGGGCTCCCTTCAGGAACTGAAAGGTCACAATTATGTCACCCTGGAGCCTTTCATTATCCAGACTGAAAAAACCCAACTCTCTCAGCCTTTCAGATCTATACCTCATTCTTAAAATATTGCATTAGCAAGAAGACTGAAAACTTCAGGTTTCAATCCAAGAAGACTAAGAAAGTATAAGAGTTCTTTAACATAGACATAGGCATATCAGGAGCTATGGATGGCTACTTTGAGAGGTAAAAGAAAATATAAAATGCCAAAAAATTTAGTTTAATGTCTTCTCTGATGTTGCTGGGAAAAATTACTCAGTCCTTTCACTCTTCAGAAAGCCATAGCAAGTATATTCTACAGCAGCATAAGCTCTGGCTAACGAAGGGCCCAAGTGACAAAGCAGAAAAGTCCCAGAAATACTCAGAGGCAGATTCAGAGAGATTATAAACATTCAGAGAAATATTTACATAAACATTTGGATAAATATTTAACTCATCTTCTTGTCCTTCCTGAGCATAAGGCATAGGCTAGCACTGGAAACAGGGTACCTGGAATTAGCAATCTTTGGTCAGATCCATTCTGCTGTAAGAGCGTGACAGCCGCTCGGATCCTGACAGCTCCCTGCTCACCTCGGGCAGCACGGACTTCGGTATCAGCCCCTTAACAACGCCTACGCACGGCGGCTACCGCTATGCACTCACTTGGTGTGCCCCATTCCAGCACTTCATGACAGCATTTCAAACTCACATAGAGTTACTCTGGCTTCCCCACACTGCAGGAATGATTCCCCTCTTTGATCCCTTCTGCTTTAAGCCCATGAATCTGATCTGTCAGCGCTCCAAAATTTTCCCCCGCAAGTGTTATTTAGTTTTTACAACGGATTTTAAATATGAGTGCCCTTATTTCAGGTTGTCTCCCAGTACTGTGGAAATGAGAAATTACTGGAATATCTGTGGTAGTCTTTCACAGTGGAGTGGCCTGTTTTATACTGTAGTGCTTGACAAGAAGAAGGTGACAGCGAGTTTACATCCAGCTGGCAGCACAAATGTGGCAGCAACAGCCCTGTCCCAGACTTAGACTGAGAAGTCAAAATACATTTAACCTAACAATGCATTTTCTGCATCTCTTTCCACAACCAAAGCATTGCAGAGAGAAGTAATCTTGGACTACACTCAGAATCAAAGATGGCAAATGTATTTTTCTTAAATTATTTTTTATGTGGGCATAAATTTCTGTAGATAGATTTATTTAGCTGTCAGTGGCTTTGACTCTAGATCTCAGGAAAGCCCTTGCACTGATTATTAAAAATCATCAGGAAATGAAAAACACTTTCTGTAATAAAGGCAGCATCTCCAGTTGAAAGTTGGGACTTTCAGCAAGACTGAGTATTGATCTGTCATTTTAGCCCCTTAAATCTGTTTAGAAACAAAGATAAGGTGCAGGTTTTCTTATTAGAATGGTTGTTAACATGTAATTATATATTCATTTGTTAAAACTTCAGAAACATTTTTCTGTATTGCACTGTGTGGACAACTGGACAAATATACTGTTGTAGTTAAATAGTTATCCTGTGTAGTGTCTCTGTTAAGTATAGCTGTATTTCAAATAAGTATTTTTCTCTTAAATTGTACCCATAAATGATTATAATAATTTATTCCTATCTTTTTTTTTTTCTCTGTTGCCACATAAAAAATCCAATTTTTCATATCTTAATTTCTTTTGATATTAATGGAAAACGCGAGAGAAGGAAGTGGGAGATACTGAAGCAGCACCTAAGGTCAAAAGTAATATGGTTCGATAATCTTTTAGAGACATATAAAAGTCAGTGGCAAGAGTCAGTGTTCATTAGCAAATTCACACATGGAGCACTAGACTGGTAATTCAATGAGGTAACATTAACCTCACGTAAAAGCACTTTTCAAAAAGTGCTGCAGTAGTATGTGAACAGACTTGAATACATATTCAAGATGCACAGTTGCTAGTGAGAATAAAGCCATGATGATCGCATTCCTGGCTTTCTCCATCAGTGCTTGAGCTCCTGCTTCAACTGCGGTGTGTTAGTTTTACTCCACGGGATTCAAAGGGCAGTGAGATCACCCATTAGTAACCAAAGTAAAACTGTTCTCATTATGAATATCACACTAGAAGTTATAAATTTTTTAATTCCTAGCTTTCTTTTAAGCATGTGGAAATGAATAGGTTGGGTTTTTTTCCCCCAAGTGTTAGCGAACAGGGAAAATTTTCAAAGTGCTTCGAGCGCTAACAACATAAACCTGACTGCACTTATGCTCTGTTATTCAACATAAACACCCTCTCCCAGCAAAGCCTCGCAGCACGGAGCAGAAGCCCAGATGAACCTCCCGGGCTACTGCAGCTCTTCCGCGGGCCGCGCTGGTTTGGACAGCTCTGCCCGCCGGGACCCGGGGCAGGCTCTGCCCGCTCACAGCCAGGGCGCAGCGGCCCGAGCGCGCTGCCCCACACGGCACCCCGGCCCTGAAGCCCCCGGGGCACCGAGGAGCGCTGNCTCACATGGCCCTGCGCGCTCCTCCCTCCGCGCCGCGGGTCCCCCCGGGTCAGCCGAGCCTGCGGGGGCGGGTGAGCCTCCACCGACGGGCACATCCTGGTGGGATGGTAGCCGGCCTTGCTGCCGACCGTCAGGCAGCAGCAGGCGCAGCCCAGCTCAGAAAAAGTGACAGAAAATAGCGCAGCTCTTGGAAACACAGAATTACGCGTCTGAGGTTGAACACCTGTGAGTCCGGCCAGACTGGTGGGAATGTGCCCAGGCCCCCGCCTCAGAGGCCAAACAGCCACCTGCCAGGGTGACCTCGAGAGTCTGGTAGGGCTCCAGAAATACCACCCTCAATACATGAGGAAGACTAAGGCTCACACCTGAGAAGGGGAAATTTCTTCCACGGGCCTGAAGAGCACCCAGGTGGCAGACTGAAGGATGAGATTTGAGTATGCTTTTTAATGTAAATTAAAAAGCTGTCTGTGCAACACAGGGAAGCTAAGCCAGCACGGGCAGCATTGCTGGGACTAGCTCTGGAAGTCCCCTTAGCCTGAGGCAATGTGACATGGTGCTTTAAAAGTGTGGGCTGCACCCACTATCCTGACACCTGGCTCAGTCTGTGCTAGCCGGGGGATGCAGGCTCCTCATTTCCACAGCTAAGCACGGTGACCATGTCTTCTCAGCCCAAATACCTCAGACAGACCTCAGGCATATACAGACAGAAGAATTCCAAAACTGGGTCAGGGTATCTTTAAAATGCTTCTTCAGTAGAATTTAAAGAGCCCAAGTCTGTCTGCTTTAGAATGGGGTGGATATCTCAATGTTGAAGACACCTGGAAGACACCAAGTCTCAGGTCAAGGGCCTTCATGTAAAGATAGGATGATGTGCCAAAAACGTAAGCCTCCCCCTCCTCACCAAAGCATACAAGCAGATGTTCATCTTTCAGCCTCAAAACACACACCCACTGGCAAGAGCAAATATATAACATGCAAAAGGAGTAGTTGGTGAAAGAGCACATTATGTATGCTCGTGAGATTACAGTAGGTATCAATATTACACATGCACAGATGCTTTTTGTGTTCAATTCACAAATATAATCCAGTTTGGGAATCCCGTAGTTAAAAAATCAATGCAAAGAATTTACACTCAGTACTGAATGGCCCAACTCAGAAGTTTTTGCCAATACAGGTTAATCTGAGCCTACATGTCATCTCAGAGTGACAGCTATAAATTTGTTTAAA